GCCTCGGTTTTCTCCCTCCTTAGCCAGCTTTATTCTCTCACCATGATTCTCTTCAGCAGGTTGGGATCAGAATCCCTGAGGACATCTTCACAAGCTTCAGGGTCCCCACATACTGATACTCACATTAGGGCCTCCAGAGGTCTACTGTTTCCCCACATTGAAAACTGTCTGGCCCACTCCCCAGCTGATGCTGCAGCCCTTCACCCGGCTACTCCAGGCCCCTGGGCCTTTGCGCCAGGCTCTGGACATTCCTTCAGCCTATGTAGTGGCTCCACGGGACCCAGAGCCCCTAGTGAACAGGCCACAAAATCATTTAAGAATTTTACACCAGTAGAAATGAAGGTAAGGAGGTCTGGTGGTAAAGTAGTTAAGGCATTTGGCTGCTAACGAAAAGGTAAGTGATGAACCCACCAACCACTCTACAGAAGAAAGATGAGGCAGTCTGCTTCTGTAAAGATTTACAGCCTTGGAAACCTAATGGGGGTCTCAGTGAGTTGGAATCGACTCAAAGGCAATGAGTGAGAAATGAAGGTAAAATATAAATATCCCCTTGCTGTTGAGTTGATCCCAAGTAGGACTGCTCCATAGTGTTTCACAAGGCTGTGATCTGTATAGGAGCAGACTGCCACACCTTTCTCCCACAGAGCAGCTGGTAGGTTCGAACTGTGACCTCAGAGTTAGCAGCCAGGTATAGCCAGTGAGCCTCCAGAACTCCTTCAGTGTACAAACATGGATACCTATAACTATGAAGGCTTTTACTTATTTTAAGGTTTTCAAATATATACATTTTACTCTTTAAAAACTATAACAACTTATGTTGTTGTTGTTATGTGCCGTCGAGTCAGACCCGACTCATAGTGACCCCTCCTTGGGTTGCCGAGGCAGTATCACTATGAAGTAGATTGCCCAACCTTCCTTCCGAGGAGTGGCTGGTGGGTTTGAACCACTAGCCTTTTGGTTAGCAGTCAAGTGCCTTAGGCACTGTGCTACCAGAGCTCCTTATAGTTCACATAAATGGAAAAGGATTGCTGTGACCCTTGATATGGCCTTACAGTGCCTACTCAGATATCCTGGTAATTGGAGGCATAAGACATTTGTGGTATCAGGACCCTGCAGAGGCAGGCACATGCTGACCCCACATGGCCCAGCTCTCAGCTACATTTTCATCTGACAGCGGGGCCCAGTAGAGCTCAGAGAAGCGACCCACGGCCTCTAGCAACCATGTGGCAGAGGCCTCTAAAACCAGTCTGTCTCACTTCACAGCTTGCTTTCTTACCATAACATGGCATACTGCCTCCTTGTGTCTTGTGGGGTGAGAAGAGGGGCTGAAGAGGAGAGGAAACAGGCAGCAGACTAGCGGTCAGAAATAAAGGAACTGCTACAGCAGAGGTACAGGCAAAATATGCACATGAACTGTGAATACAGAATATATTTATCTTTGCCTGTAGACCATACATTTTATATTGCAACATGAAATAGAATTTTACCTAACATTTAGAATTTCATTTAACAAACCAGAGATACAGTTCAATAAACCAGATCAGATAAAATCCTGCTTGGCTTTTTACTTGTGCTTATTACCAGGCAAAACAAAAAAGCTCATTTACCAAATATTTGGCAGGGTAATGGATTGAAGATGTTTTGCAAAATAAGATAAGGATAGATAACTAAGTGAATAATGTTTGTATTCAGTAAGTTTCTGGAATACATCTCAATCTTTCACTTTCCTAAGCAAAATAACCAGTGTTTGATGCAAACACCTTTCTTCTCACTGGTCAGTGCATGCCCAAACTGGGTTGACTTTAAAGATAGCTTTACGTTCTATTGTTTGGTATGTAAGCACTACTAAAAAGAGACATTCATTTTCCCTCCAGTTTAAAGCTCATGCATCATTCTACTACCCTCTCTTATGTGAAATTATGCAATTTGACTTGATTCCTGAACTTCGTGCTGTTCTTAGAAGATTTTTTCTGCGAATTGGAGTAGTTTTTCAGATATCACAACCACCTGAACAGGAACTTGGAATAAACAAACAATGATGGGAACTATGTTTTTTGTTGGAGTTTACATCCTTCCACTCTTTGAAAGGACCCTGGAGCTGAGATTTCCTACCTGAAGATGATTTCTCTCAATTGCAGTGTCTGAAGGTTACTGGTGAAAATGCTTAGAACTATAACTTACACTTTCAACACTCCAGTCTCCTTTAGTGACTGATGGATGGACTCGCTCTGTTTGTTTTGCTGGGCTTGTGTTGAGCAGTAGGCCTGCTTTGACATTGCCCTCTGTCCTTTGTGGCAGGGAAGGAAGGCCTCACGTATATATGGCAGGTGTGGAAGTGAAACTTACCCAAAGAACTATAGATGTAAAGATTTGAACTTCTGCAAGAAGTACAACTCAGGAGAGCTGTATTTTGAAGGATAAAATGTTTATAATTGGGGGGTGGTGAAGAAGAAATTATTGTTCACGGTAAAAAGATATTTAGCAACTATGGTATTCTTATTCTGAAGATTTTTGCACACTCAGGCTACCTGAGATACTGGTAATCCTCCTCCTGTGAAAAAAAATGTACAGAGATGCAGGTCTGTAATATAAAAATCTTAAACATTATATAGTTCATCCTGCACTGTTTTATTTTATTTCTTATTTTCTTATTCCTTTGCTAAAATACCCATACTATTTTGTCAAATGCACTAAATTTTGGGTTGAACTTTTTTATTTCAAGGGGATTTTTTGGTTTTGCCCTTTTTGGGGGTGATAATTTTGAGGGTTTAACATGCCCAGTAGCTGTTGTGACTAACACTTACCAAGATCAGCAACAGGAAAAAAACAAAAGAAGGTAGAAAATATCACTACTGACCTAACTACCTGTAATATGCTTACCTTAGGGCTTTTAAAGATGAGCCATTAAAATATAATGATTTTTCATGGACTGAAACTTGAATCGCTGCAAAATAAATCTAGGTTGCTGTACCTTTTTTCTTTTATTTTTGGGGGGCAGAGCTTGATGTAGATTTTACTCTTATGTACAGAATTCAATGTTGAACATATTAAAATAACAAATCTGGCATGGTCTGGGGTGGTTAGATTTACTGGAAATGTATTCATACTGTGAATTGTGCTCTCTGATGGTTAAAAAAGACAAGATTGTCAAGCATTCCGTATTAACAGTGGATGTAGAAAATTTTTCAGATGGATAAAATGTATATGGTACAGATGTAAAGTTTTCTATGTAAAAATATTCTGTACAACTTTCTGTACAATATTGATTCTCATCTGGCATATTCTGTAGGTCAATAAAGTTTTTGAATTATTTCATCAGTGCAATCAAAACCTGTGTAACCCACAGCCCCATGTTTCATTGATTCATTTATTTTTGTCATTTAAAGCCAAACATGGAAAGTTTACTGTCAGCCAGAACTACAAATTCAGTATTATTTTGTTCCAATATTTTCTTTCCAGCTTCTAACATTAGGTTCCTTTCTTCCCCTCCTGCCCCTGTGCCTTCTTTCCAAACCACAGGCCATTTGTAATCTTTAAATATTTGTTTAGTCATTAACTCAGAATGCTGAGAGAAAGGGCTCAGTTTCCCTTTGGAGCCGTTTGTGTCCTAGGAGTTCAGTTAAAGTTACGTGGTACAAGTGTGTTAAAACAAAATGGAACCTGTCGACATAAATTTCTCTTAAGAGGGGGTTATGTGAAAAACAGAATTGTTCGTCATTGCTCCATGCTTCTCTTAGCTTAGTGAACAATTATTGAACAATGCATTTGTAAGAGCAGGATTGCTACCACAGAATCAAGACACTGTATGTATTAACCCCTAAGATGCAGTCCTATTCAAGCCCAGCTGGATGCTAGAAGTGGGAGTCTCCCTTGGGTTGCCCCTCTGGCCACCATGACCACGAAGTCTTTCTGAGGTGTGCTTCAAATGACATGGTGGTTTATTATCTGATAGTGTAATATGAAAAGTCTCCCTAAAGGAAACAAAACCTTACTTTAAGGTGAAGATATAAGAAAAATCTTTTAATAGTAAAATAAGCCCATAGTTAGAGCTGAGTTTATAGTCAGAGACTTGAGTACGTACAAGTAAAATTCGAAATATCAGAGAACTATCACACTTGTTACAAACTCACCCAGTCTTCTCTGCCGTGAATTACATCAGTGGGGAGGGTAAGCAGCAGTGCCTTAGGGTGTGTCAGCTCTGTCTTGGTGCTGAAGACTCTAATCCTAGTAAAAATTATTTAGCTAAATCTTGAAAAAGGAAAGATTACATTAAATTCAAAGGTACAGTTAGTGATTACAAGTGCCAAGCCCAATCTAGAAACCTCTATTCCAGTTAAAATAAGAAAGTGACATGGTTAATGAAAATAAAACTTTATTTCTATTAAGAAATAGTTAAATCATATAAATTAGTAACTTACAGCCTTCATTGGCACAAAAAAACAAGCAGAAAGATGTGACATCTAGTGCATGGCTCACAGGAATTAAATCACTTAGGGCTCCCATCATCATAGTAGCTATAAATGACATGAACATAACTAGCACATTTGGTTCCCTAATTACGTAGCAAATAGGATAATCACAGCTACAACAGATGTATTTACTAAATGAATTTCTTTTGAATAGAGAACAGTGGCAAACGTGCATATAAAAGAGAATTTGGGTTTACAGTACTGTTAAGACACGTTTTATTTGCCTTATCTTAATGACAAGCAGAATTTAAAATAATGCACATATGGTAGTTGATTCCAAGAGTTCATTACCACCCTAATTTATGGCAAAATTGTGCAAAAATAATCCTATACAATTCTACATTACACAAATCAATAAACATGGCTTTTATGTACATAATATACATCTTCATGGAAAAAATACACCTTATATACAGATGGAACATAAGTAAATTAACTTCCAGGTAAGGGCCAAAGTAGAACATATTAAAGGTTCAGGTTTAACATTCCTTTTACCTTAAAAGGCACTATGGGGTCCAGTACAAATTTATTTTAACCATGTGCAGTGGACAAGCCTTGCCAATGAAAAGTGCCTGGTTTTCTAGGAACCTGCTGCTGCTCTTGACTCAGTTGCTCTGTCATGAATCGCTTCAGTGTTTCTGAAGTTCCAGGGCGGAGCCAGGGCTCAGTTGCTACTGAGTTTGTTCCATCATCACCCACTTGCTTCATGATGTCATCAGGGTCAACCAGTGAACTCTCATCATCTAAAGGATGCCAAAAAAGAGCCATAACTCAACACAGGTGCAGGCAGGTGACTAAAACACGAGGCTTTTGTGGTCCAACCTATTACAGCCCTGCATTCCCCACAGTATTATATGTTCAAACTGCCCTACTCTGTCCAACTCTTTACTAAAGTGGAAAAGCAGGCCCAGGAAGGGCCCACTTTTGTGGAAACAGAAAGTGGTCTTCCGAATAATTTGACTGCATGCTGCCAGCACCCACAAGGGTAGGCCTGGAATTCTAGATCCACAAAAGAACACTCTTCACCAGTCACTAAGTTGCCTGTAGAAGTGTAGACAGGCTTATTATTGTTACTTTCCAGAGAAAATTAATGGATACCAACAGAAAAAGAAAAAATTGACAGAGTTTTGAGTTAATCCCAACCTATACCACTTCTGTAAGGAAATTTTTCTGAAAGCCCTAGCCAGGAGTATAAATGCCTTCTATTATCACCACCTAACCTAAAAAGGTTGTCATCCACTTTCCACTGTTAGAAGTAACTCTTATGTTTCATTCTTTAATTGACTCGATCATACTCAACTTTTATATCTTGTACTTTACTTAGTAGTAGATAAAATAATAGGAAAATCTGTCTTCCTACCCTGTGATGTCAAATTTCTTTTTTAAAAAATGACAACTTCTGGTCTTTGAAGGATTAGCCCAGCAAAAGGACATATGCAATCTATTTAATGAAGAGTCAGTCCACATTGTACCAAAAAACTCCTGTGTGAAACGATGTTAAAAACAATTTAGAAATTGAAAACCTTCTGAAAGAGTGTAGATTCTTCAAATGCTTTCTCTTTTCTCAAACATGGATCTGTTAAATACTGCCTTAATGGTTTTAAATGAAACTGAAGAACAGGTAATAATAAAGGATAGATGCAAAAGGCCTTTTAACAAAAAAGAAAATGTCCCCTTTTCCACATTTTTCCATGTGTGCTATGAATAGTACTATGTTCATTTTCTCATGTCTGCTAGAACACGGTGAATGCTAGAGATTATACAAACAGTTTTCAATTAACACAGTATTACAGGTAGGATCTCAGAAAAATTGGTATTAGAAATTATTGTAATGTAGCTTAATAGTCCAGAGCATTGCATTAATAAGACCATTACTGTTTACCATACTTACTAATAGAAAGTTGTTCTGTTGTACCAATACACATGAAAATGGTAGTGTAGGGTTAGCAAAGGAGTCACTAACTTCCTGAAGGGCTGTTAACACCTGGCCATGCTTTGTGAGCAGTCTGAGTGGCATCCTGCTTTAATGGGCTGGTCCTCAAAGCAATGAGAGTCAAGCCTACATTTAATGAGAAGACTAACTGACTTATGAGAAAATTTCCCATAATACAGATTTTCTAAGGCTATTTTGCATTGTCCATGGTGCAGATAGCTAAGTAAAAGGTAAAAATAACTTACTTTCTAGTGCTACAGATTTAAAATAGATATGTTATTCAAAGAACTCTTGTTACTTTCTGATAATCTCTCACTCCATAATTACTCTGCCACACTAATCGGCACTTATTCTAATGAAAGCAAAGCCTGGATGTATTTAATAAGCAAAACCTGGATGTATCTGTTTAGACTCCACTGAAAGTGGTATCCTCTCTGGTAGAAAGAATCTGACACAAAATCAAACCTGATGTTTGTGTTTGCTGGGTGGCTACTGTGTTCTGCCATAACTCAAAGGACTTTGAAACTCATTCCGTCTATCACCCAGCCTTCAGTGAAAACTTTCTGGTAATCAGGTTTAAGAGTCCTTACAGAATTTGTTGTCGGCCACTAAATTTGGTCATTTACCTGTATTAATAGGTTTATTCTGAAGTTCACTCAGTCTTCTCATTCGTTCCTCATTTCTCATTCTAAGCTCATCAACATTTACACTGGATACAGATTTTAGAGAGAGACCATCTGGTGGTACATTAGGATGAACATTATCCTGTAGTAAGAAAACAGAACTTCAGAATCAGTCATAAAATATGTTCAAAATGAATCAGTGAATCAAAACATGTTCTTGCCCTTGATATACAATGGGATGAACAAAATAAAACATGAAAATACGTAGCGCTTATATTCTGACTCCTGATGTTCACTCATGCAGGCGCAGATGACCTTTAGTCAAGGATATGGTGTAGGATTTGTGATGACACAGAAATGCTGCCATTTTGGGAAGTTTGGAAAATGTAAGACACAAAAAAAAACACTGAAACAGCAGGGACTAAGAATCCAACTACAGTAATCATGACAGAATAGCACAATGGAATAGGCTTGAGAGTCCAGACAAAAAAAACCTTACATCTTCATAAAAGAGTCAACAAAATTCAATGGAGAAAAAATAAGACTTTTCAACACATGGTGCTAGTCCAACTGGATATCGTCATGCAAAAATGAATTTGGACCCATAACTCATGCCATACAGAAAAACTAAAAGTGGATCACACACCTAAATTTAAGAGCTAAAACTCTTAGAAACAAACACAGGAGTAAATTTTCATGAGCTTGGCAATGGTTTCTTTAGAAAACCAAAAGCACAAGTGGAAAATGGACAAGTCAGACCCTTATCAAAATTAACGTTTGTGCTTCAAAGGGCCACCATCAAGAAAAGTGGAAAGGCAATCCACAGAATGCAAGAAAATATCTGCAAATCATATCTGATAAGGGACCTGTATCCAGAATAAAGAACTCTTATAACAAAACAGCAAATAAGCCCAATTTTAAAATGAGTAAAGGATTTAAATAGACTTATCTCCAGAGAAGATATAGAACAGCTAACAAGCACATGAAAAGATGTTCAATATCATTAGGGAAGTAAAAATGAAAACTACAATGAGATACCACTTCATGCCCAATAGAATGGCTATAATAAAAAGGTAACAAGTGTACAGAATGTATAGAAATTAGAACCCTCATTTACTAGTGTAAGGATATAAAATTATACAACCTATTTTAAAAACAGGCTAGCAATTCCTCAAAATGCTAAATATTTATTGTTGTTGTTATGTGCTGTCGAGTCAGCCCCGACTCATAGCGACCCCTTCCTGGGTTTCCGAGGCAGTATCACTACGGAAGTAGGATTGCCCAACCTTCCTT